TGTTAAATTTGCTGTAAAGAAACAAAGGCAAAACATTACAGAATTCGTCAAAAAAAAAAAAAAAAAAGTGTATTACGCGTATTTTGGAATAAAACTTGGGGACCAAGACAAATTATAGGCTCCACGCAAAGTTTGCACCATTTGTGTCGAAGAGTTGAGACAATGGACTAAAGGTAAGAAAAAGTCTTTCCCTTTTAGAATTCCAATGGTCTGGCGTGAGCCTAGAAACCACGGAGATGACTATTATTTTTACTCATGTAACGTGCAAGGCTACAACACTCTAAATAAAAAGAAAATTTCTTATCTGAACCTTCAATCTGATATAAGACCTGTTGCTCATGGACCTGATGTACCTGTACCAGCTTCACTGGAAACTCTTGATACAGTTTCATCTGATTCTGAATCTGATGTCAACAGAAACGTCTGGAAAGGTTTCATCAAGGCATCAGGGAAATGGAGAGGAAGTATAAGGGAAGGTGGAACAACAGCATGATGGCTGATTACTGCTGGTCATTGAAACGAGACACTCCAGACGCAATACATAAAAAATTGACCACAACACGTAGTTTTGAGACTAAAAGACGTAGATTTCACAAACAAAATCAGGATGAATGAGGATGCATGTTTGTTTGACATCAATGTTCTCCCCTTTTCTTCAGTTTATTTGTATTTTTGTTAACAAACATAATAATAAAAATGTTCATTGTGGTAAAAGAAATGATAATTTGATCTAAGTAAGTTTTATTTCTTCCCGATTTGTAAAAAATCCTTACATGATAGAAATGTTTTTCTTTTTCATATCTGCTTAACTGAATTATGGAAAATTCGTTATTAAAACCAAAACAACTTTTCTGAAATTTAAATTCGCTGGCCTATGTTATCGGGAAATTGAAATACATGACTATTCCTAAAATCGTGATGTTGATAGTACTTAACACTGTTAACTATGTATAAACAGAAATATTTTATGCTGATAGAATAATGCTATACAAAACATGGTGACTGTCAACTATTGTTACTAGGGGGAAACTCCTACCTCACTTACGAAACTTTTTTTTGTAGTATTTTGTAATTGAAAGCATAAATTTTATAAAACGTAAAGGCAGTACTATGTATTTGAAGTAATTAAAGCAGCTAAGTGGCCTGTTTAGACAACTCACGTATGATGTTAGGTACGTAGAGTTCTGAAAGGATCTGATGGCCGTGAGAGGCGTTTCGGTGATTACGAGGTTAAACCTAAGTGGGTTGAACCTATTCTGCAACATGTAATAACCCTCCAAGCACCCCTAGCACAAAAGACACTTTGAACCGAATGATCTGATGAAAGTGATAAACCAATCGACTTATCTAGTAAGAACCATCAGATCTATCGACGCTTTCAAAATCTGGGTATGGGGGGGGGGGGGGGTGTATATCTTATATTGACCATCATAATGTTGTTGTAACAATTCATTCAAATAATGACCGATTTAAGAAAGCATAAGAATCATTTCTATGAAGACACACACTATAATAAAATCTATTTTAACGCTTTATTGCTTAAAAATAGCAAGAAAATGATTTATATTTTTACTAGTCGGTTTGAAGGATCACCCGAAGAGACAGCGATAAGTCTACGGTGGGCATGGCAGGTAGCCCAATGTGTCTTTGCTCTGAAACAACCAAACCGGTTTGGAGGCACTCAAATCCGAATACCTGAAGCTCCTAAATACAAATGAATGATTTCAACTGAGTAATTAGATAAGAAACTATGTGTCTTCATGTTGGTTCTACTATTTATAGGGCATAGAAAGTAGGCATTCTAGAAAAAAAAAACGTATGTACAATTTTCAGCGGATGTCCCGTGCTGTAGCCCCGAAATACGATTTTGCAGCTATTTATAGGGCTTTCGTTCCGCTCACCCGAATGCAAGCAAAAGGAAAAATATCCTCTTGGAATGGACAAACGCCTAATGGACCTACGCCAGTCCAGTTGGTAATAAGTAATAGGGTATAAATGATTTATATTTACGTAAGCATATTTATATATCTGAGCTTTAAATATAGGAAGGCATTACGCTACCGATCTAAAGGTAAGAGCCTTCAGCAGGTTAAAACAAAGGTTTAAACTGCAAATGAATCCAATAATTGGCCGCTTAGTGGGATTAAATTGATACACTTTTTGTAAGAAAAATTCCAAATGAAGAGGCTACAACCGATACGTATAGACACTTGAAATAGCGGTACCGTCACCCTGTTGAGTAGGGACTTGGGGAGCAATATCACTGAGTATTAATATTTGCCAGTGGCACAGCGGTATATCTACGGACTTACAACGCTAGAATCCGGGTTTCGATACCCGTGGTAGACAGAGCACAGATAGCTCATTATGTAGCTTTGTGCTTAATTACAAACAAATAAACAATATAAAATACATCAAATTC